CCTACGCCGACGGCCAGAGGCCCGCGCATCTACATTTTTTCGCCTGACCCCATCAGTGCCGACCCAACTACACCACCACGCGCATGCCTCGCGGCGGATATGCGCAGCAGCAAGAAGGTTTCGGTCATCCCTTGAGGGTGAATCTAGCCCTGCTCGCCAGAAAGACCCCCCCCTTCACTACAACCCATGTCTAAGCAAAAGCTTGTCGAGGAGCGAGGGGAAGAAGGGAGATAGCATGGGGGAGGCTAAACTATCCTTCGGATGCATGTGTGTGTGTGTGTGCAGAGCTGATCGTGCACGAAAACCTGGAGGTGATGTCGATTGGAGAGCGCTTGGCGAGGGTCGACAGCGGGAAGAACCAGCACCAGCACAAACAGCAGCAGCAGCAGCAGCAGCAGCAGCAAGTCATTTCCCTGCACGTCCTCGACGAGCAGATAAGCAAGTAACAGCAAGAAGACCGAGATGATTGGTATGCACCCGGCGTATGTATATCGGCCGAATGTTTCCGCCGTGGGATTCCAAACCGCTTTGTATGATAGGTGCACCCGCTGCCGCGTCCTGGTTGGTATGTACATCCATGCTGAAACCACTGGCGTTGTGCTTCCTTGGCCGTTCATGGTCAGCCTAAACTAACTGCAACAATTACTTGTGCAATTCAACACAATTGCCCAGGCACCAGTAGAATACAGGTGGGTCCTATCACGCTATGGACTACTCGCGCATTTATTCTGGAATGTCTGTGTCGATTGTAGTGGGTGCATGTTATAAAAACGCAAAAAAAATAAACGTTTTGAGATATAATTATGATAAATGTGACCCCACTGCTTCTATTGCTGCTGCACGCCTTGCCTTCGGCCAGAGAGACGAGCGAGCAAATCGCACGAGGAGCTTTTCGAGATCTGCCCGTTGGAGCAAGCGCACCTCCTTTCTCAGAAGGACACAGAGAACCTGGCAGACGGTTCTGACACCAAGGTGTGCGCTCAACTCGCTGATGCTACATCGACAATACACGCGTATGCGCACATGTCCCATTGTCGTGCAGGGAACACCTAAAATACTCGTTCTGTCTGTGCTGTACGACAAAATGGAAAACGAGCCCCGTAAGGACCAGTGAGGGGGGTAGTCGCCATCGTCTATCAAGATTATACTTTGTACGAACCGACGCATGAGTTGTACGAGACAACCCTGCTAGTTTTGGGCTTCCTCAGATTCCTTGGCAGACGGACAAGGCTATTTAATAGAGACAAACACAGAGAGAGCAAAGAGAGGGGAGGGGAGAGACAGACAGACAGACAGACACACAGAGACATCAGAGAAGTCAGACACACGACAAACAAAAGTTGTTTGCGAAAATGTGCTCCCCCAGCGGTGATAGGTCGTGTGGGCATAATGATCCGTCCTCTCGAGGACGCGTGGTGAACGGTCTATTAGCTAAGGCATGAAAGAGTACCCCCTCCCCCCCCCCCCCCCCCCCCCCCCCCCCCCCCCCCCCCCCCCCCCCCCCC